ATTTTTTAAACCCCACCTATGAACGTGGATTTAAAAAAAAATCAAAGGCCGCCTGTGAACGTGGATTTTTAAAAATCTTTTTTCAAAGGCTACCTATGAACGTGGATTTTTGAAAAAAAATTTTCAAAGGTCACTTATGAACTTGGATTTTTAAAAAAAAATTTTCAAAGGTCACTTATGAACGCGGATTTTTTAAATATTTTTTTTAATCCATCTATCTATCACTTTTGTTGTGCAATATAATTGATTGTGGATTTAGCCCCCAAACTTATTTGAAACCCATTAAGTCCAGACTTTAATTATTGACCTATTAAAGCAATTATTTGCTACTGAAATAATTTAATTCATATCACCTGGATCAAAGTTCTTGGCCATTGAAATGAATATTTTAAAAATGGAAATTAGAAATAATTAAAAAAAATATATTTTTTTTGAATAGGCCAATTAGTTTTACAAAATGCATAAAGGATGGTGATGATTGAATAGAAAAAAAAATATTTTTTTTACAACTCCTATTCTTTCATCAATCCGTTACCATTTCAGAATAATCTCTTCTTCTTTTTTCGATTTTTAAATGTCATCATTTAAATTATGATGATTTTGTTATAATTTTCTGTTGTTTTATTGCTGTCATTATTTGATTTTTATTGCAACTGAGTTTTGTTTCTTTGGTGTGACGTTAGTTGTCGTCTACACGCGTTCGTTTCTTAAGTCTTTTGTTTTACCACCACCACTTTTTTTTGCCATTTTTAAACATTTTAGGCAAATTATTTTTTTTTTGCAAAATTTAGTTTAATTGATGTTGTTGTTGCTGGTTGTTGTATTACGTTTGTGTCTCATATTTTCTATTATTCGCCGTTTTTTTGTTTCTTTTGAACAACAAATACACATGTTTTTTGTTGTTTCATTATGTCGTCCCCCCACCTCCATTTGGCTGGGGGGAAGTTTCTATGGATGAATTTGTAATTAAATACCGATATTTGTCAAGCTGTCAACGAAATTATGTGATATTTCTTTTCTGGCTAGAGGGGGGAGAAATTAACAAGAAATTTAAATTAGTTTAGGCTTATGTTAATTTAGACTTAAATATTTTTAAAATATTTTTTAAAGGCCAGCTATAAACGGGGATGTTTTTGAAAATATTTTTAAAGGGCTGCTGATGAACGGGAATTTTTTTAAAAATATTTTAGGGCCACTAATAAACGTTAATTTAAAAATAAAAAAAATTGAAGGGCTATTAATAAACGTAGAATATTTTTTAGGGCCATTAATAAAAGTTAATTTTTAAAAATATTTTTTTCAAGGGCTGTTGATGAACGTGGATTTTTTAATAATATTTTTGCAACGATCAGCTACAAGCGTTGATTTTTTTAGAAATATTTTTCCAAGAGCCATTTATAAACATGGATATCTTAAAAATATTTTTTCAAGGGCCAGCTACAAACGTGGACTTTTTAAAATTATTTTTTTAAAGACTAGCTATAAAAGTGGAATTTTTAAAAATATTTTTTCAAGGGCCAGCTACAAACATGCATTTTTTAAAAATATTTTTTCAAAATCCAGCTACAAACGTGGATTTTTTAAAAATATTTTTTTTAAAGACCAGCTACAAACGTGGATTTTTTAAAAATATTTTTTTCAAAGACCAGCTACAAACTTGGATTTTTTAAAAATATTTTTTCAAAGACCTGCTACAAACGTGGATTTTTTAAAAATATTTTTCTAAGGTCCATCCATAAACGTGGATTTTTTAAAAATATTTTTCTAAGGTCCATCCATAAACGTGGATTTTTTAAAAATATTTTTCTAAGGTCCATCCATAAACGTGGATTTTTTAAAAATATTTTTCTAAGGTCCATCCATAAACGTGGATTTTTTAAAAATATTTTCCTAAGGTCCATCCATAAACGTGGATTTTTTAAAAATTTTTTTCTTAAGTCCATGTATAAACGTAGATCTCTTAAAAATATTTTTGTAAGGTCCATGTATAAACGTAGATCTCTTAAAAATATTTTTGTAAGGTCCATGTATAAACGTAGATTTCTTAAAAATTTTTTTCTTAAGTCCATGTATAAACGTAGATCTCTTAAAAATATTTTTGTAAGGTCCATGTATAAACGTAGATCTCTTAAAAATATTTTTGTAAGGTCCATGTATAAACGTAGATTTCTTAAAAATTGTTTTCTTAAGTCCATGTATAAACGTAGATTTCTTAAAAATATTTTTGTAAGGATCATCCATAAACGTGGATTTTTAAAAAAAAAATTTTTTTGTAAGCCCAGCCGTGATTTTTTAAAAATATTTTTCTAAGGTCCATCCATAAACGTTGATTTTTTAAAAATATTTTTCTAAGGTCTATCTATAAACGTGGGTTTTTTTAAAAATATTTTTCCAAGGTCCATCCATAAACGTGGATTTTTAGAAAAATATTTTTCCAAGATCCATCCATAAACGTGGATTTTTTAAAAATATTTTTCTAAGGTCCATCCATCAACGTGGATTTTTTTAAAAATATTTTTCTAAGGTCCATCCACAAACGTGGATTTAATAAAAATATTTTTGTAAGGCCCATCCATAAACGTGGATTTTTTAAAAATATTTTTCTAAGGTCCATCCATAAACGTGGATTTTTTAAAAATATTTTTCTAAGGTCCATCCATCGACGTGGATTTTTTAAAAATATTTTTCTAAGGTCCATCCATAAACGTGGATTTTTTAAAAATATTTTTCTAAGGTCCATCCATAAACGTGAATTTTTTAAAAATATTTTTCTAAGGTCCATCCATAAACGTGGATTTTTTAAAAATATTTTTCTAAGGTCCATCCATAAACGTGGATTTTTTAAAAATATTTTTCTAAGGTCCATCCATAAACGTGGATTTTTTAAAAATATTTTTCTAAGGTCCATCCATAAACGTGAATTTTTTAAAAATATTTTTTCTTGGACCAGTTATAAACGTGGATTTTTTAAAAATATTTTTCTAAGGTCCATCCATAAACGTGGATTTTTTAAAAATATTTTTCTAAGGTCCATCCATAAACGTGAATTTTTTAAAAATATTTTTTCTTGGACCAGTTATAAACGTGGATTTTTTAAAAATATTTTTCTAAGGTCCATCCATAAACGTGGATTTTTTAAAAATATTTTTCTAAGGTCCATCCACAAACGTGGATTTATTAAAAATATTTTTGTAAGGTCCATCCATAAACGTGGATTTTTTAAAAATATTTTTCTAAGGTCCATCCATAAACGTGAATTTTTTAAAAATATTTTTCTAAAGTCCATCCGTGAACGTGGATTTCTTAAAAATATTTTTCTAAGGTCCATCCATAAACGTGAATTTTTTAAAAATATTTTTTCTTGGACCAGTTATAAACGTGGATTTTTTAAAAATATTTTTCTAAGGTGGATTTTTTAAAAATATTTTGGTTTTTGAAAAAATTTCTTCAAAGACTAGACCGGGGAGATTAAAAACAGAATATTTTTTGGTCAGCTATAATAGTGGATTGTTTGAAAATATTTTTTCAAATAAGCTGTAAACGTGGATTTAAGAAAAAATATTTTTTCTATGGTTTTGATAAACCGGAATTTTTTAAAAATATTTTCTTAAGGACCGCTTATAACCTGGATTTTTTAAAAATATTTTTTCAAGGGCTATTGATAAACCTCGATTTTTTTAAAAATATTTTTTCCACTGCTTTGATAAACCTGGATTTTTTGAAAATATTTTTTCAAGGGCTATTGATAAACCTGGATTTTTTAAAAATATTTTTTTAGGAGCCATCGATAAACTTGGATTTTTTAAAAATATTTTTTCAGGGGCTATTGGCAAACATGGATTTTTTTTAAAAATTTTTTTCAGGGACTATTGATAAACCTCGATTTTTAAAAATATTTTTATTTAAGAGCCATTGATAAACGTGTATCTTTTACAAATATTGGCAAACATGGATATTTTAAAAATATTTTTTCAGGTTCTTTTGGCAAACATGGATTTTTTAAAAATATTTTTTCAGGGGCTATTGTTAAACCTCGATTTTTTAAAAATATTTTTTAACAGCCATTGATAAACGTGGATGTTTTAAAAATTTTCTTCAGGGGCTATTGGAAAACATGGATTTTTTTAAAAAATATTTTTTTCAAGGGCTATAGGCAAACTTGGATGTTTTAAAAATATTTTTTTTCAGGGGCTATTGGCAAACATGGATTTTTTAAAAATATTTTTTCGGGGCTATAGGCAAACATGGATTTTTTAAAAATATTTTCTTCAAGGGCTATTGGCAAACATGGATCTTTAAAAAATATTTTTTCAGGGGCTATTGGCAAACGTGGGTTTTTTAAAAATATTTTTTCAAGGGCTATTGGCAAACATGGACTTTTTAAAAATAGTTTTTCGAAGACCATTTTTATTCCTGGATTTGGATTATTTTTTAATTTTCGGGCTATTATTTTATTTATAAGAATTATTTTTATTATTCATATAAAATATATTCTTGTCCTAAATATAATCCTTCCATATTTCAGATGAAATATTTTTTTCTTACTCTCTGCAGGTGCATAAAACTTATATTTTCTAAATAAATAATATTTTTTTGTAGGAATTAATTTGATTGTTGCTAATTTGAGATTTTTTTTTTATTTTTTTAATCAATTTTTTTGGTATTTTTCCACTTCAACTTTTTTTACTTTATTTTTTTTTTGTTTTGGACACGATTTCCTTTGTTTATTTTGGCCACCATGCATTACAGGCAATATTCGTTGTTGTTGCATTTTTTTTTTTTTTGTTTCAAGTGGAAATATTCCATTTCTTCTTCTTGACAACCGAATTGATAAATTAATTTTTAAGAAATATTTTTCCAACATTTTTAGACATTTATTTTTTTTTCTGCTTCTTTTTCATCTTTTCCATTGATTCAATACCGATTTTTTTACAATTCATATTTTTGTAATTCATTTTTATTTGAATTTGTTGTTATATTTGGATTTCTTATAACCGTACCCCACAAAACCAGATGATTTCAATTTTTTTCATCCACTGCCAAAACAGAAATTAGCGGCCCGTTCACAACCCAAAAATTAAGCCAAGTGACGCGATCAAGCTATTTACTCAAACTGAATTTAGCTTTTCAACAAACTTGGCTTACAAGCATTGTGCCAAAAAACCGAAAACCTTACGGAAAGCCAGCGGACAAAAAACAGCAACAACAACAAATCATAACGCATACGCGGCTGTCTCAGCTCCAGTTGGACGGACGCTTGCATAGCATTTTACATGCACTGCCTAGGTGGTGGTGATGGTGGTGGTGAGCCGGAGAGCCATAGAGCAGCTTAGCAACCATTGGGAAAATTACGCTCATGATTTGATTTTTATTGAGCTAAGCTTAGGCTAAGCGAACATTTCTAGCTGCCCAGGGCATCCGTGAGCACCCAAAATGTGCCTAGATTTCGTTGTTGTTGCTGTATTTTGTTCTCACAAAGCTTTACTGCTGTCAGACTTTGCTTTGGCTTTTAGCCCACATGGACTTAGTTGTCAAATATTTTTGTACGGGTGAATGTGCCAAAGATTCGTGTGTCGTAAAATCCAACTAAAGTCCAAAGTGTTTTTTTTTTTCTAATTTCACGGAAAAGCCAATAGAATTCCAAAAGCCAAGAACTTTAATATTTTATCAAAATGTCGGCTGTTGAACTGGGCACGGGTCGCTGTAATTCTTTGAGGAAGTTACAAAAGGTATTTAGATAATGAAGTCTTCTTTGAATCACTTAACTAAAAATATATTTTTCGGGGAAAATATTGAGTTTTAGATGAACATTTTAATAAAATAAAAATGGCGCCCAACGTGGGGTACTACTAAAACTAGCCTTCTGATAGTTGGGCTTGAAAAAAATATTTTAAAAAAATTCACATTTGTTAGTAGGCTTTGAAAAAATATTTTTAAAAAATCCACATTTGTTAGTAGGCCTTGAAAAAATATTTTTAAAAAATCCACGTTTCTAGTTGGCCCTGGAAAAAATATTTTTAAAAAATCCACGTTTAACCATAGCCCTTGAAAAAAATATTTTTAAAAAATCCACGTTTAACAATATCCCTTGAAAAAATATTTTTAAAAAATCCACGTTTAACCATAGCCCTTGAAAAAAATATTTTTAAAAAATCCACGTTTAACAATATCCCTTGAAAAAATATTTTTAAAAAATCCACGTTTAACAATAGCCCTTGAAAAAAATATTTTAAAAAAATCCACTTTATTGATACCCCTTGAAAAAATATTTTTAAAAATTCCACGTTTATAGTTCGCCTTTGGAAAAATATTTTTAAAAATTCCACGTTTATAGTTCGCCTTTGGAAAAATATTTTTAAAAATTCCACGTTTATAGTTCGCCTTTGGAAAAATATTTTTAAAAAATCCACGTTTATATATGGCCCTTGAAAAAATATTTTTAAAAAATCCACGTCTATATATGGCCCTTGAAAAAATTTTTTTAAAAAATCCACGTTTATATATGGCCCTTGAAAAAATATTTTTAAAAAATCCACGTTTATATATGGCGCTTGAAAAAATATTTTTAAAAAATCCACGTTTATTGGTACGCCTTGAAAAAATATTTTGAGTGGATCGCTTCGTTGTTTGATCTCAATTTTCTCTTTCGCCTCTTGGTGAATGTTTGTCTTTGTCTACTAGTTTTTTTGTAGGAATTGCCATTGATTGACAACCAAACATCATGGCCAAATTTTGAAAAACGTAAATAAATAAACAAATAAATAACCAAAGCGGACCCACTCTCCTCCCTTACCGTACAGCGATCACCTAATTTGAATGTAACCAAATGATGCAAAGAATTTCACATTCAAGGTCATTTATGCTGTTTCTTATTCAGCTTTCAAATATTGTAAAAATATGGTAAATATTTTGAAAATACACACCGAAATTCCAACAACAACAACAAGGCATTGGTGATTAAGTTTTGTAAACTTGAGATAAACATCTAATGTGAGAGCCATGGCGGGGAATGGTCGAACCATAAAAAGCTGGTGTATTGAAATGATGAGATCAATCTATGGTGAAGATAGGTATTTAATGTGACGCAGATTGTTGTAGGTCAGGGATCGGATGTGGGAATATGGGAGAGACCGGATTAAAAAAAATAAAATAAAATAAATCGCCAATTCGTCATTCTCTGAAAAGGAAGAGTCCAGAATTTAAAAAAGTGGATATTTTAAAATTATTTTTTCAAGGGCTATCAATAAACGGCGACTTTTTAAATATTTTTTCAAGGGCCATTAGTAAACGTGTATTTTTTTAAAATATTTTTTCAAGGGCCATTAGTAGACGTGGATTTTTTAAAAATATTTTTTCAAGACCCAACTATAAACGCGGATTTTCAAATATATTATTTAAAGAGTCAACTATAAACGTGGATTTTTTTTAAATATTTTTTCAAGAGTCAACTATTAACGTGAATTTTCTAAATATATTTTTTCAAAGGCCATTAGTAGACGTGGATTTTTTAAAATATTTTTTAAAGGCCATTAGCAGACGTGGATTTTTTAAAAATATTTTTTCAAAGGCCATTAGTAGACGTGGATTTTTTAAAAATATTTTTTCAAAGGCCATTAGTAGAAGTGGATTTTTTAAAAATATTTTTTCAAAGGCCATTAGTAGACGTGGATTTTTTAAAAATATTTTTTTCAAGGGCCATCAATAAACGTGGAGATTTTAAAAATATTTTTTCAAAAGCCAACTATAGACGAGATTTTATTTTTAAATATTTTTTCAAGGGCCATCAATAAACGTAGAGATTTTAAAAATATTTTTTCAAAAGCCAACTACAGACTAGATTTTATTTTTTAATATTTTTTCAAGGGCCATTAGTAGACGTGGATTTTTTTAAAATATTTTTTCAAGGTCCATTAGTAGACGTGGATTTTTTAAAAATTTTAAAAAATATGGATTTTTTAAAAATATTTTTTCAAGGGCCATTAGTAGACGTGGATTTTTTAAAAATATTTTTTCAAGGGCCATTAGTAGACGTGGATTTTTCAAAAATATATTTTCAAGGGCCTTTAGAAGACGTGGATTTTTCAAAAATAATTTTTCAAGGGCCATTAGTAGACGTGGATTTTTTAAAAATATTTTTTCAAGGGCCATTAGTAGACGTGGATTTTTTAAAAATATTTTTTCAAGGGCCATTAGTAGACGTGGATTTTTCAAAAATATATTTTCAAGGGCCTTTAGTAGTCGTGGATTTTTCAAAAATAATTTTTCAAGGGCCATTAGTAGACGTGGATTTTTTAAAAATATTTTTTCAAGGGCCATTAGTAGACGTGGATTTTTTAAAAATATTTTTTCAAGGGCCATTAGTAGACGTGGATTTTTTGAAAATATTTTTTCAAGAGCCAATTATAAACGTGGATTTTTTAAAAATATTTTTTCAAGGGCCAGTACTAGACGTAAATTTTTTAAAAATATTTTTTTCAAGGGCCATTAGTAGACGTGGATTTTTTTAAAATATTTTGTCAAAGGCCATTAGTAGACGTGAATTTTTTTAAAAATATTTTTTCAAGGGCCATTAGTAGACGTGGATTTTTTTAAAAATATTTTTTCAAGGGCCATTAGTAGACGTGGATTTTTTAAAAATATTTTTTCAAGGCCCATTAGTAGACGTGGATTTTTTAAAAATATTTTTTCAAGGCCCATTAGTAGACGTGGATTTTTTAAAAATATTTTTTCAAGGTCCATTAGTAGACGTGGATTTTTTAAAAATATTTTTTCAAAAGCCATTAGTAGACGTGGATTTTTTAAAAATATTTTTTCAAGGGCCATTAGTAGACGTGGATTTTTTAAAATATTTTTTCAAGGGCCATTAGAAGACGTGGATTTTTTTTTAAATATTTTTTCAAGAGCCATTAGAAAACGTGGAATTTTTTTAAAAATATTTTTTCAAAGGCCATTAGTAGACGTTAAAAATATTTTTTCAAAGGCCATTGGTAGACTTGGATTTTTTAAAAATATTTTCTCAAGGGCCATTAGTAGACGTGGGTTTTTTAAAAATATTTTCTCAAGGGCCATTAGTAGATGTGGATTTTTTTAAAATATTTTTTCAAGAGCCAATTATAGACGTGTATTTTTTAAAAATATTTTTTTCAAGAGCCAATTATAGACGTGGATTTTTTAAAAATATTTTTCAAGGGCCATTACTAGGCGTGGATTTTTTAAAAATATTTTTCAAGGGCCATTACTAGACGTGGATTTTTTAAAAATATATTTTCAAGGACCATTAGTAGACGTGGATTTTTTAAAATTATTGTTTTTTGTTGAAATTCCTTTTTTTTGAGTTTTTTTCTTCAAATTTTCGGATCCACCTTAAAAAAATACATTTGGAATTGATGACTAGCGTGTTTGTCAATAGACAAAATTATGCAAATTCCCATAGACATCCGTTTTTTTGTTAACTCCATCGCGGAGGGGGCAAAAGGGAATGCATTCAAAACCAGAAATCAAATAAAAATTCGCATTAACGAACGATTAGCCGGTTTTATTTGGCAATGTAAGCGGCCAAGTTTTAACAACTTGAAACAACTTTTTTTTTGGACAAATGGACCACTTGCAGCAGTGTCAAAGAGGCACAGCAACATAGATACACAGACACACACAAACGCAAGCGTTTAGCTCTAATTTTTTCCCATTGTTGAGCCAGCCAATCCAGAGACAGGCATGAGCATTTACAGGTGAGATGTCTTTATCGTTTATTTCTTTAGTTCAGTTGGCGTTTTTATTTCCAGCTGGCTTTGAAATCATCGCATTTTGATGTTGATATTTTTTTTGTGGTCTGGTCCGAACTTTTTTTGCTCGGCACCGCTTTTGCGCATTATGTTATAATTATGATGTTGCAATTTATTTCGCAAAATGAATGTTTTAAAATCTCTTAAAAATTAAATTTCGGAAACGATGGCGAGAAAATAATAAAAAAAAAGTCCGGCATCATTACACACACACACACACTCACACATGGTCATTCGCATTGCAACAAAGGGCTTCGGCAAACTGCCGGCACAAATATTTGCTAATCTCAAAACTCAAGTATTGAATACAACTAGAAACAAACCATTGGTTTGTCTGTCAGCCAAAATCGCCAGATAAACGGACCACCAGGCG